AAAAAAAATTAGCGAATTATATTGAAAATATTTATATATGCTCAAAATGAGTAAACAAAAATTCTGCTTGCAATCATCGACTAAATGGGAGGGCGGTAGGTAGGTAGGTGGTGGTATGAGGAAATTCACTGAAAATTTCTATTGGGGTTGAAATGTCGCGAAATGCGAGCAAGTCATAAATGCACGCGTGCATATTTTTACACATTGTTTTATATAATATATTCGTTCATATGTACATATATTGTGTATAATTATCGACAACAAGTCGCAAAAAAACAAAAACAAAAACAAAAAGTATGCAAATTTTTTTGTCTGAATATTGTATCATGTTTTTTTTTTGTACTTTTGTTTTGCGTATATTTAGTTTGGTTAGCGGTTTGGGTACAATGAGTCATTTCGTATGTGAAATATGAGAGCAAGAATACAAGAGTGTGAGTGAGGCAAATGTAGCAATGCCACTGGAAAAGTTTTCAACAAATTGGAATTGAAAAGCATAAAAAAATATGAGAAAATAAAACGCCATTACTAAAAAATTATTTACAAGGAATTAAAAAAACTAAATAAAGTAAAACATAACAAATAAAGTAAACACACATAGAAATAACATTTAAAAAATTTAAAAATAAAAACCTAAAAATAAAATAGAAAACTTGAAAAAGTAAATAAATGGTATAAAAGTAAATTAAAAAAGGAAAAAATTTTAACACAAAAATATAATAAAAATAATAGTAAAAACATAAAAAACGCAAAACATATGTAGAATAAAAAATAAGGATAATATAAAAGAAAAAAAAAATTATGTTAAGAGTAAAAAATAATGAAAAAATTAAATAGAAATAATATAAAGAAATAAGTAGAAATAATATAAAAAGTTAAGAAAAAATATAAGAAAATTAAACAGAAATAATATGAAAAATTTAAATAGAAATAATATGTCTCGTAACCTCGTAAACCTTGTAAGTAAACCGGTACTCCATAAAAAATTAAGTAAGTTTACGAGGTTTACATGGTTACAAGGCATTTACGTGTTTAGATGTTTATATAAAAAAAATGAGTAGAAATATGGAAAAATAAATAGAACTAAATAATATACAAATTTAAGGTTAGGTAGGTTAGTTGGAAACCCCGTCTAACCGGGGCTCACTTAGACAATTAGGAGATTGTGATACCACATTCTAAACGGCACCCAATACTTAATCGACAAAACGCCCCGAGCCGATTATGTATTTAGAAATTCGGTTAATTTCAATTCCCCAGTGCTCCTCGGGGCTATTAAGGATGTGAGAGGCAAAATACTTTAACCTTAGCCTCGCATACTCTGGGCACCTAAGAAGGTAGTGTTGAGGTGATTCCACCTCGTCATCTTTCAGCCGCTTGGCTATCAGAATATATGCTCACTTCCCTGACTGTTATAGCCCTCCAGAGCAGTGAATCCATCGCCTCCTTGATAGTAGCCACTTCCGCCTGGAATAGACTGCAGAAGTCCGGGAGCCTGAACTTAGTGCTGATGGTAAGCTCTCGACAGAAGACCCCACCACCAACCCTGCGGTCAAGTCGACGTCCCAATCCTCGCTTGAGGGAAAGTGGGCAGAGAAGAAGCGCCTAGGATCCATTTCAGTGGCGCAGTAATCTGTGCGATCAGGGATGCCCCCCTAGAACTCGAGAGTGTCCAGTCCTCAAGTCGGTCAACCAATCGGTTTCCCTGAGTCAAATAGCTGTTCGCGCCGCGGCAATTTTGTCTGCAACGTCGACAGGCACTACGTTCAGCATTACATTCGGTGCTAACGTGCGGGTGGCACGCAGTGCCCCACTTAAACCGATTAAAGCAGCCTGTTGTACGCGCACCAGCTGCTTAGCTAGTGTAGCCTTGTAGCTTGATTGACTACGGTCTTGTAATAAGACCAGTTCCGTCTTACTGGGATTGACGGCTAAGCCACTTTTGGCCACCCAATTAGTAGCTATGTTAAGATACCGTTGGTTCATTTCATAAAGCGTGTTCAGGTATTTACCTTTAGCTATAAGTGCAACATCGTCTGCGTACCCAATTACCCGACAGACGTGTTTCTCTAGCTCCTCTAGTAGATCGTTCACCCACCACGACGCCCCAGAGCAAGGGTGAGAGGACACCTCCCCTCAGGGTGCGCCTGTTCACCGTGCGATGCAAGCAAGCGCTGCCCCATATGACCATGACAATTCTGTCACTCAGCAAGCTTTCGATGAGCCAAATGCGACTGACATCAACCTGAAGCTTATCCAACGACTTAACTATTGCCTCTGTCAGGACATTATCAAAAGCCCCTTCGATATCGAGGAAGGCTCCTACGGCAAAAACTTTGTGATTGAAGGCTTCCTCTATCCACCTCACAATTGTGTGTCGAGCGGTTTCTACCGACCTTCCTTTACAATAAGCATGCTGAGCTCCGGTGTAGGTCAACCAGCCTCTCCAACGTTTTTGGTAGAAACGAAGAGGGACTGATTGGCCTGAAGTCCTTGGGCCAACATGAGCTCGCAAAGCGGGTTCTGAAAACTAGCGTACATAAGCCAATAGTTCAATGTGCCGGGCTTCGTGCTTTTCATTGATCGAGCCGTGGCCAGGGTTAAAGCGGTGCTCTGGTTCCTTAAGTCCTGTTCAGATTCTTTCATTGCACACTCATCTACTTCCTGATTTTCCCGAATACGGTTATACCTGGGGCCTAGTACACTGGAATCTCTTAAACAGTTATTCCTGCCATAATTGTGAAACCTTTAGCTACAACCCTGATCTGGTAGTCATATATTCAATGTTGCCCCTGTGACTCTGTCTAAGATTTGAATTAGAAACTTGTACGTCAGCCTGAGCCTAATAGACGTCGCACTCGTAGGGGGCTTTTCTTTTAACTGCAAATCATTAAAAACTGTCGGTTATAAAATCTCTAAAAATATTTCGTCTCCATTGCGTCCACTTAAATTTTGAGTATCTGCTGACTCACACATACTAAATATTCCCTTTTCTATTTACTTGTTCAATATAATTACAATATTTTCTTTACTTGCAGATGGTTTTTCGCCAACAACAATAACGCCAAGCAGAGACTTAACCGCGGTCGCTTCTAAGTCCGGAATTCAAGTAGCAACCGTAACAACAACAACCAAAGTAAGCAAACTAACAGCTAGTCAATACCAATACCAAGAAGAGCTAGAAAAACTCCATTGTATTCAACAAAAGCATGCAACGGTAATCACTGCCGCTGAGCAACAACAGCAAATGAGTCTGATTATGAAAAGGCCAACGGCAACGGCCCCAGCATCTCCCACAGCACCAGCAGCAGCAATTGGAGCAGCTACAATTGTTTCACCAACACCATGCGCTGCCAAACGCAACTCACCAACAAGCAGCAACAATAGCACGCCGACAAAAGAAAAATCTGAAAGAATTCTAGTCGGGGGTCATTACACGCCGCAGCAGCAGCAGAATAGAGAGCGTCGAGAGAGTGGCGGTGATCGCCAAGATTGGGATACTACACACCGAGAATTTGTGTCGCCAACAAAAACAATAGTAACAGGGGCAGCGGTGCCAATACCAAAGCAAAGATCAGCATACTCGCCGATAAAGAATGCTTCTTCAACTGCAGCCAAAGAAACTATTGCTGGCGAGAAGAGCGGCACAACAACCCGTTTAACAGGTAAAACTGTGACCGCAGCGGCAGCTGAAGTGGTGAGCGAGAAGCGGCAGAGCACAGCTGGTGGTGGTGAAGTAACCATCGAAGGTAACAACACTACCACCACCGACACAGCCGGCAGTGGCCACGGCGGTGGTGATGGTGATGGCGATGGCGAAGAATGTACGGAAAATGAAACTACAGCACTCAAAGCGGCAGTGTCAGCAGAGAGTGGTGGAACGTATGCAGTGACAAGCAGGCAAATACCATCCACAATACAGGCTGGCTCACCAACTAGAGCGAAGATGAGCGCAGTGGCAGTGGCAGCGTCGACGCCTCTATCGCCAACATTGGTCGCCGCACAAGCGACTCAGTCACAGCTATCGCAACAGTTTCATTCGAAGAACGAGCGCGAGCGGACGTACACGGAACAACGCGGCGCGTCATCGTCGGCCGGGAACAATAGTAGTTATATATCTACTGCAAAGAAAGTGCAAACACAAGAAAATACTGCAGCAACGGCTATTAGCAGCAACACCCCTTACAGCGCCACATCCAGCACGTACTCGCCATCTAATTACGTGACTCCACCGCTGACCAGTAGTACCAGCAGCAGCGGCAAAATATTTTCAAAACTTCACAACAATCAGTTCATAAAGAACCAACAGCTGCAACAGGCTGGCGCACAAACGAGTGCTGCAACGCAATCGAATATTACGGCGCGTTATCTGAAATACAAATCATCATCGTACACATCGCATGCGCCGGAATCCGCAGGCGGCAGTGAAACTGGTTCGGGCTACACTGGTTTGCCGGGCACTTACTCGCCAACAAAGTCGTTTGTGGCACCCACGGCAAGCGCCATCAAAAAGAAAATGGTCGCCGTGCAGGAGATGAAGACTACACAGCCGAGTGGCAATCATCCGCATCGCGCACATCACAATCACCACCAACAGCAGCACATCCAACAGATGATTGGTACCGGAGGAGCTGGTGGTGTCGGTGGTGGCGGGACTTGCGCACGTCCAATGGCGCTGACGGGCGGGCGTGCACGCCCACCCAGCCAATCAGAGGAGGTGGAGGTGAACTTCGACCCAGGCGAGGATCTGAGCTATGGACCAGGCATAGTTTCAAAGTTGCGGTGCCGCTACCTCAGCCTCGCCTTTCGCGAATCCATGGAAAAGGAGCGTCACTGTCTCGATAATATGCGGCGCGCCACCAGTCTGAACAATTTACTCGATCGCGACGATCCAGCCGATGAGGATGATGAGCCAGAAGATGACCTGGATGGCGGCGAAGCAATCGATTTGGAAGTGCGTGAAGAGGACGAATATGTTGAGCTGCGCGCGGATGCAGACAAAACGATGGCCGCTGAGCGCAAGCTAAAAACACAGGGTGGCATACTGAAGCACAACAACGACGCCGCTGCTGGCGCGCAGGAGAACACCAAAAAGACTACAACATTTCAAAAGCATGCAGCGGGCACTTTTGCCGCGAATGGTTCTCGTTTGCCGCACTCGGCACCGGCAGGCGGTGCAGGCATTGCGACAAATGCCACCAATGTCGGTACGCCCGATACACCGCGTTCGCGTCATGTAAAACGCGGAAATGATTCGTTAAAACGCGCGCGTTCCGTCGAAGCGCTACTCTGCGAACGCACGCCCTGGCAATACGCGGCGCTCAATCGCAGCAGCTATCAGCCACAACGTTTTGCGGCCACTGGCAATGCAAATTACGCGCTGTCGCAGCCGACTTGCGTCACCATCGAGGATAAGATAAATAACGGACGTAGTCGCCTGCTACTCGGCACAGATGTTATGCCACCGAAGCGCTTGACCTCAGTCATCGATGATACGGAACGACCGCCACCCGATTTGGTCAAGCAAACGCTGAAGAAGTTCGAAGCCACTGCTAATAGGCGTGGACGCGGCCCGAGTCGCACGAACGGAACCGGCGAGGTCGCCAGCAAGGTGGCCACCTACAAGACTATCATTAAGGAGAATAAGCCTGCTATTATGTTTCCCAAACCACCGATCAGCCCCACTAAGAAGCTGAATGCGCCAGTGCTCACGAAGCCGGCAGCCAAGCCAGTAGTGGGCGCCGCTGATTTGCTCAATAGCCCGCTAGGGCGCAAGACCACTGCCGTCGCAGGCGTCAACACTGCGGCTGGAAAAACGTCGCCGGCGACCTCCAATGCCGCCGCGGTTACCGGTGTGCTGTCTGCTAGTAGTAGCAATAGCAGCGCAGTCGGCGTTGGCGGCTTATCAGAGCACTCGCCCGATATCATTCCAAAGCATAAGCTTTTAACGGAAAAGAGCGAATTATTGGCGCACGGAGTTGTCGATTCGCCAGTGACAGCTTTAACAAAAAAGCTCGAAAAGCTGCGAATTGAAACGTCGGTGGATAAACCAAAACAAGCAATAACAACAAAGGAAACTAAACAGCCAACACAGTTGAATAAGCAACAGCAGGCACACTCGGCACTCGAGCCAACCAACAGCGACAACGAATTCGTCAATAATAGCGAGTTGAACAACGACGACAACAACACAAGCAACAGCTATAGCAACAAGCTCGTGGGTGGTGGCGCTGTTGGCGAGGGTGAAGCGGCTGGCGATAGTGACGCGGCCCTCGAAGGCAACGAAAATAGCAACAGCAACTACAACAAGGCGAAACAGCATAATGATCGTGCTGGTACTAGCGCAGCTAGCAGTATTGGTATTGGTAGCGTCAGCGGCGTTGACGAGTCAGTCGTAGAACCCGATTCGGTGCTGGCAGGAACCGCCGCAATTAGTAGTGATCTTAGCGACGACGACGACGGACTGGTTGATCGTAGTATTGCCGCCGCCGCCGCACCCACAAAACGTATAACGCGCACAGCACTCGATAATATCGCACGCGCGGGCACCACACAACAATTCAAATTCGCTGGCAGCAGTGGACAAACGCAGCAAAAAACGCAAACGAAACAACAACAACTAAACTCTTCCAATTTGAATCCCGATATACCCAGTTCGGTATTGAACGCCGCACCGGGTAAGCAAATCGGGGTCATACGCCCGCTACCTACCACCACAGCCGCACAACAGGCCGCCAACACCGCTAGTGCCACAAACTCGCCGAGTATTTCCAATCAACAGCAATTGCTGCAACAACATATGGAAGCATTGAAGCAGCATAACGTTTATAGCAGCAACTCCACGTCAACAACAACAACAGCCACACATTCCTCAATTTACCACCACAGCACACCGTCGCCACCACAATCGCAACAACAGCAGCTGACAAGCCGCGAAATTGAAAAGAATCGCATAAATGAAATGAAGAAAACGGGCGCATTAGCCGATGGTGGTGGCCCAACGGCTGGTGGTGTGATGGTCAGCGCGGGCGCCAGCGCCAATGCCAATTCACACGCCGTCGCAGCCGCCAATGCTAGTCTAAATACCGTGATAAATACCAATGCGCCTGGCCACAAGTCCAACGCTGGTATTGGAGCGGGCGCGGCCGCCGGTGCTGCGTCATCAGCATCAAGCACTTCCGGCTTTAATGAGTTAGATGCGGCAGCGCCAGGCGCTAATAATAGCCCCTTATGGGCGTTACGCATTAAACGACAGACACCAAGCGTCGCTGCACAGGAGAACACATCGATGGTATTCAACTTCTCCAATCGCAAAGAGGTGCCCGATTATATCGAGAATGATGGGGTGATCTTTCGCAGAAAACGTGAATTACCCAAGGTGAGTGTAACACAGAGACAAAGAAACGAAAGATATGTATGTGTAGGGGATATGTAGGAGAAGGTAATGGGGGAGAGTAGGGTAATAAGTGAGTAAAGTTGGAGTTGATAGAAATTCAAGAAGTAGAAGCAGTGAAGTTGTGTTTTTTTGTGTGTAAAAAAGCAGCTGCAGAAGAAGTAGCGAGAAACCAAAGTACGAAATGGCAAAGCAAAAGGCAGATGAAGTGAAATGATGTGACGTGACGTGTAAAGTGGAAAAGGAGCAAAGCGTGGATTGCAAAAGAAACGGTATATAAGTGTGTGTGTGTGCATATGTGCATGCAAATGTGAAAGCCATAATGAACAAAAGAAACAAATATGTATATGTATATATAAGAAAATATAAAGAAAATACTTAAGAATTAAAAAAAAAAAATAAGAAGTATAAAAAATTATGAAATATACATATGTAGATATGTATATAAGATATAAAATATATAAATAGCAACCGCAATAAAAGAACCAAAAGACCAACAAAAAAAGCAAGTCTGCTGCAACAGAACGTGCACAAAAGCGAAACAGTGAAGTGAACTCCGCAATAAAGTGAAGTTTTACGCCGAAGAAAGACAACACGTACGACTCGTATCTAGATATCTATGTATATACATATGAATGTGTACGTATATGCATGCCTATATAATAATGAATACAACGACGAATTGCTGCACACGCATTTAACCCATACTCTTGCTTGTGTAGAAAAATAACTGCCAGCTGAGGGCCTCCATACATTCATATGTATGTACATTAGACCGCATCACTCCCCATACAAAAAAATCGGTACTGTTCCATTGAAATTATAAAATTTGTTATATGTATTTTAAGACTTGTAACAAAATATTTTGGACCGATTTGAAAATGCAACCAATTTTTTTTTTATGGTAAAAAAGTTTTTTTAAAGCATTTAAAAAAAAAAAAATCAACTCAGATGAAAAACCAGTTAATATTTAAAAAAAATGTTTAACGTAATCATAAAAGTTAGATTATTGATGCTGTTTTGAAATTTTTTTCAAAGATTGGCTTAAGAATAAATTTAATACATCAGCCAAAAGAAAGAGATAGTTAAGATGAACGAGTGTCATTACAAGTTGAATTTAAACGTGTTTATATTTGGAAAAAAAAATAAAAAATAAAATAAAAAATTGGGACGTGAATGAGTTCCTTTGAATGAATGAAAGGGTGAGAAAAGACCTTTCCTTTGATACCTCACAAGTCTCAAACGGTATAGTTTTGGCCCAGTTATTCAAGATTTTCTTAAACCAATCATTGAAAAAAGTTAAAAAACAACACCAATAATCTCATTATGTATTACGATTCCGTAAAAAAGTTTTTCAATATTTTTAAGATTAAACCGTTCTGTCATCTAAGGGGATTTTTTTCAACAAATCCTTAAAAAAAAACTATTGGTATTCATAAAAAACTCTATTTTTGATTTTGTAGGTATTTTCAAATCGCTTAAGCTTAAGCTTTTCCCGAAATATTTTGCTGGAAATCTTCAAATATAATACATTTTTTAATCCTGGCGGAAAGCCGCGACTTTTTTTTTTGGTGATACAGTCTAATGTACATGCATACATATCTATGCAGTAAGGCTTAAAGTGTGAAGAAGTAAGAGCCAAAAGCGTAGAAGATAATGAAAAATATTTCGAAACTTCACGAAGTCAAAGAGTGTTAAAAAAGCAAAGTTGCTTAAAAGATCTTACGAAATACTTAACAAAAAATTTCTAAATTTTAGTGTATAAAAGAAAAAGTCAATTAGTTGCAAGCTGCTACTACTTCTACTGCTTCTACCAACTCTTTTACTTTTAAATTACGTACTAAGAAATATTTAAGATTGGTTTAATCAAACAATACTTGTATGTTCCCTGCACCCTTTCCCTTATAAGTTGTGGTCCGGGAGAAGTAAGACACGAGCTTATAGATCTACCAGCACACTGCACTCCGTACAGCCACAGAATGTCTTCTGTAGTATAATGTTCAGGACATCATGATCTGTGTTAAGGCAAAAACTTCCTGACATCGCCGTCAAGTTTTTCACTACCGTAGATTTTTCGATATACTTGGTGCAAAAAACGATTACATCAAACCGGGATTCCGCATTACAGAGTATTTTGAAAGTTTTCCATCCCTATCTTAGGCCTTCAGAATGAATCTATGAACTAACGGGTGAGATTAAGGGCCCTATAGCATACGGACAAATTTTAAACATCATGTACCGAGAGACTGTCTTCACGCTTCATGAACTCTCTCACCTGTAACAAAGGAGGAAAGTTTGCCTCTTGGTATCCGTGCCAATCTGCCACAGTTACGTTCTGGATATTGTGCCAGGCTAAAGTTTTACTTAAACAGAATGGACGCAGGCATTGTGAAACAACTTCGAACCAGCATTTCATTTGCCCCCATACACGAAACAAAGCTCTCGTTCTCTCTGCGCCTAGCATTACTCTTTACTTCCTACTGTTGATTCACCTATCGCTTCGTCTTTTTTTACATTCGTATTGATCTTGAATTGATTATGAAAATCTTTGCTCGCTAAACATCAGTCAAACTTGAAGCTTTCTCCAGCTAATTTTCATTCATGAAGTGCAAAAATCTTTATTTTTCTATTGGCCCTTAACCAGTACTGATCTCTAACGAATCCTACTACCCTGCTGATCTAAATTTATTCATTGGAATCTACTTTCACTGAACTTCAGTCGACCAAAGTGCTTGGCTTGCTGATCTTCCTTTAATCGCTGAAAGCCCTTTACTTTCGTACTGATCTTTAGTTGATCTTTGGACAACTTACTTTGAAAATTGTTAATTTTTAACAATCCATTGAACATTTCATGTAATTTGTATCTATCGTTCGCCTCATTTTTATATGAGCTCAGTAGATTGGTGTATTTTTACAAGCTTTTATTTTTATGTTTATTTTCTTAATGCCATACCGGTGTTTAGTTGATTGCAAAAAATGTAAACCTTTGCTGAACTTTTTATGATTTTTTTAAACCGCTGAGAAATCGTCGTTTTCATATCGTACTTCAATCATACCTGGGTCAATCTTGAGTCACCCCTTTATTTACGCGCCAATCATTTGTTGACCTTCACGTGCCTACGTGCACACATTCATATGTATGTTTGCAATTAGTCAACCGCTGCTTGCCTGTGAGTCATCGGTTTATTCTCAATAAATATTTCTTATGTACTGCATGCAATATTTCCTGAGGGTTAATTCTCATACGTATTTTATCCCATTACACATCAGGGATGGAAAAGTAGGTACAATAGTACCTTTTTCCGACTTTTTCGAACCAAAAGGTACATTCGGTACACTGAGCTCAATTTAGGTGCAATTAGACGTTAGCCAAATAAATATCGATATTTAAGACGTTGCTCGCGAAAAAAAATTAAGAAAATTTTTGTAAGCAAGGAGAAATGGCAACTCATATACAGTGGTGGAAAAATAAATAGGGATGCGACATTTTAACAAATTTTTCTTTTGTTTATTTAATATTTCTTATTTTTTTATATAAGTTTTTAAAGTTGAAAATTTAGATACAATTTTGCATAATTTTCATAATTTTTGCACAAATTTCAAAATCAAGTTTTCGTAGAAATGGTATAGAGTTCTTGAAAATCAATATTTTTTTCCAAAATAACAATACACAATTGAAAAACTTTGAGTGCATTGATCGACCCCTAAATATTTTTCGATTTACAAATAAAAACAATTTTTTCGGTTTTCCATCCCTGTTACACATTTCGATTTGTGGCTAGGAATTACACGTAAGAAGCACTCGCATAGGAACAAAACGCCACATAGCGCTTTTTTGCACAACTTGAGCTAGACAGGGTTGATTGGTTTACTCTTTTTTTTTTGTGTTTTTCTCTATTCTCTCCCTACACTTGTGTTTCATATTGCTTAAAAGGAATTTTTTTTCAACTTCAACCGCGCTCCAGGGAGTCAGAATCGAAGCGTTATTTATGTTGTTTACCTTGAAAGGCAGGAAAAATACTCAGTCAGCGTTCAAAATGGGAAGTCTTCGTAACTACTTTTGTTGTACACTGTATGTGCGTGTCGCGTGTTTTTTTTTTTGTGTTTACATACGCCGCGCGACTGCTGGCAAACATATTTTTTTTATTATGTATTTCCTTATATACACAAAACAAAGAAACGGCAATGCAATGTGAAAGAAAATTAAAAAAATAAATAAAATATTAAGTGTTTCTTCCTGTACCAGCTAGACCTTTTCCTGTGCCTAGCATTTTTTTATATCTGCTTATTTTCCTACGTGTAACGAATAACCAATCAAGTGTCTGTCAGCAAAGATATGTAAGCGGATAATCTGAAGTATATATTGCCAAAGTGGCTAGTTTTTTTTTTTTTTTTTTTTTACTAATAACAGTACCTTTCTGTGGTATGCATTGTTGAAAAATGTGTCACTCTGCTTATCAGCACTTTTTCTTTTTTATTTCATATACATTTTTCTGCTTTTTGTGTTATATGTACCAGAAATATGCAGCCATGTTGCCTATACCTTATCAGCTCTTAAGCTTTGTGGAAAAAAATTATAAGCTTACTGCAAACAAAGCCAACATTGGCCACAAAATCCCTACTGGCTTACTGTTTACATTTGCATTAGTGCAGTCAAATTTTATAAAAAAAAAAATTTATCTAATATTTATCAGCGTACATTTAGATCGTGTGCTTAACTTGATGATAAATTAGTTATTTTATCACCCTAATATCTACATATTTCGTCACCAAAAACAAAGCGTGCCATATTTTTCGCTTCGACCTGATTGCCGTTTAAAATTGTACGCACTACAGGCCATTTTCGTAATTTTTCGATAAACTTTTTTTTTTTTGCGCTCGTCACCCTTTTTTGCGTGAAATGTCCGTTTATCAATGAAATCGATTTTTTTTTTACGTTTTGTTTTATTACTTCTAAGCATTCACCGCTTAGTCATTCTTGTTTT